TCAGCAGACTGTCCTCCTTTTAGACTCCTTGATCATCTGTGTGAAGAAGTTATCACCAATGTGCTACACAAAACTCCTGGATTGCTTGTAGCCTGCAGTGTTGTCCCTACAACAGATACTGGGGAGGTTGGTGTCCCTCTTGAGGACTTCTAATTGTCTGAAGGTCTTATCTACTTCCTGATGAGGAAGTGTTTTGCAGACACTGATCATAAAACAGCACATGTTGGTTTGCCCACTGATCCTGACCCTTTTGCTGGCTCATCACCCAGCCTCAGGCAGAGCTCTCTGCATTTCTGCTGCTCTCACGCAAAAATGGGCAACTCCCCTTCCTCCAACCTGTGCTCCCTGAAGGGCCTGCATCTCTCCACAGAAATCCACTTGTGTGATCTGTCCCCTGTCCCACCACATCTCTGTGACCCTGGTGAGACCACAGCCCTGCAGCTGCACACAGATCTCTAACTCACCACATTTACTGCCCATGCTGTATGTGTTGGCACAGGGGCACCCAAGCCTGCTGATTACCTGGGAAAAGTACAAGAGCTCGCCCTGTCCTGCTGTCCCCTCAAGCACTTCCATGTCGTGCTGAAGGTGGACCTCCTCCAGCTCCATTGTGCTGAACAAGAGGCACATTGTTTTGCATCCTCTTTGCCAACCCGCTCCACCGCTTCCGTGTTTGGTGGTGCGTTGTTCCCTAGTCCTGGTGTAAAGCTGTCCTTGCTGGGCTGGCTGGCTAAGATTCTTTCCTTACTGAAGTTGACAGCTGTGAATCGATTCACATTTTGCAGTCAAACGCCACAGTTTCTGCACAATCCATTACAGAAGCTACTGAAATTTATTTTGCATACTCTGCTCAGCAGCCGTGTTCAAATGTTGCTCTCTCTGTTGTTCTTGAACTGTCCCTCTTCCCGCAGTGACCTGCCACGTACTTAGAGCTCAGTTTATTTCTAAGAGGGAACAAGCAGAGCTGTTAGGCAGAGGATCCAAAATCTTCCAAAATGAGGTGCATGTTAGGAGTCTGGTGAGACAGAACATCACTTCACTTACAGGAAAAAAGTGACCATCCATTCCTATGGATGTCCAAACTGCTCTCACTGCCAGAGCAGCCCCAGAGAAAGCCATTCTTTGGTAGCAGCGTAAGGCTTCACGCCAGCCTTCTGTGTTCCTGACATTAGTGCCCCTACATAGGAGGTTGTGGGGCCGAGCTCCCACAGGTGTGGGATGAGGAGCTAGTTGTGGGTGCTCTTTTTTATGCGTTCAGCCCAAGAGGGGCCGTGTCCCCTCCCGCCCTTCCTCCTGCCAGCTGAGGGCGGGTTGGGGGGCTTTTGATGGGTCCATGGAACATTCCAGGGTGTTCAAGGGTTCCAGGTGTCCATGGGGGGGTTCAGAAGGTTCTGGAAAGGGTTTTGGTGGCTCCATGGGATCATTCTGAGGGTTTTGGGGGGCTTTTGATGGGTCCATGGAACATTCCAGGGTGTTCAAGGGTTCCAGGTGTCCATGGGGGGGTTCAGAAGGTTCTGGAAAGGGTTTTGGTGGGTCCATGGAACATTCTGAGGGTTTGAGGAGGGTCTAAGTGTCCATGGGGGAGTTCTTGGTGGGTTTTGGGAAGGTTCTGAGGGTTCCAGTGGAGGTTCTGGGGGTTTCTGAGGGTTCTAATGGTTCTAGTGGTGGTTCTGAGGGTTCTTGGGGGTGCATGGAGAGTTCCTGGAGAGGTTCTGAGGGTTCTTGGGGGGGTTCCTGCTGGGTTCTGGGTGGGTGGTGGGGTTCATGGTGGGTTTCTGGAGGTTCTTGGAGGGGTTCTGGGGTGTTGGGAGGTGACTCAGCAGTGTCACCCCCTCCCCCTTGGCTGACCTGGTGGTGTCCCCAGGGGGCAAGTACGTTCCTCGGGCCATCCTAGTGGACCTGGAACCAGGGACCATGGACTCCGTGCGCTCAGGACCCTTTGGGCAGATCTTCAGGCCAGACAACTTCGTGTTTGGTGAGTCCACATGTCCCCCCCAGGGCACCTCTTGTCCCCCCCAGTGTACCTTCATGTCCCCCAGTGTCCCCCAACTTCCCTCTTGGCATGTCCCATCACAACAAGGTGGTGGTTCCCTTCACTTGGTGGCCACCAAGCTCTCCGCATGGTGGCCACCTTGAGGTGATCACCAAGCTGTGGGGTGGAGGTGACACATCCCACCTTGGTGGCACCTCAGGTGCTGGTCACAGTGGGGTGGCAGGTCCTTCTTGGTGGGCAGGGTCTGTTCTGTCTCCAGAAATGTCCCATCTTGGGATCTGGGGGTAGGTTTTGAGGTCCCCAAAGAGGTAAAGTGTCCCCAGGTGAGAGGGATGAAGGTCTCCAAGGAGGTGGGTGTCTCTCTCAGGGGCTCATGGTGCCCCCATGGGTGGGTGTGGAGACATCTCAGGAGGGTGGTGAAGAGCCAGGAAGAGCTTGAGGTCCAAAGTGTGGGCTGGAGGTTCTCAAGAAGGTTGAGAAAAGGTCTCCCAAGGTGCTTGGAGGTCCCAAAGGGAGGTCATGGAGGTCCCCAAGGACCCTAAAGTTTCTAGGGGCTGACTGAAGGTCCTGAAGAAGAGGGGTGGTGGTGCCTGGGGAGCTGAGGTGTGGACTTGGACACCCTCAGAGGTTCCTCGGGGTTCCCAAGGTTGGCCTGAAGATGGAAGAGGAGCTGAGGGTCCTGAAGAGCAGAGTGAGAATCTCCCAAGAAGGTCTCCAGGGTTCCCAATGGTCAGATGGAGGTCCCTGAGGTTCTTAGGGTTGGCGTGAGGGTCCTCAGAGATGGGAATGAAGTCCCTGAGGTTCTCAGAGAACCTCAAGGCCCTCAGAGGTGGAATCCAAGTCCCCAAGGTGACCAAGATTGGCTTGAAGGTCCTCAACGATGGGAATGAGGTCCCTGAGGTCCTCAGGGTTGGTTTGAAGGTTCTCAGGGGTGGGAATGAGGTCCTTGAGGCTCTCAGGGCTGGTTTCAAGGTCCTCAAAGGTGGAATCCAAGTCCCCAAGGTGCCCAAGATTGGTTTGAAGGTCCTCAACAATGGGAATCAGGTCCCCGAGGCCCTCAGGCTTGGCCTGAAATCCCCCAAACCACTCAACCCAAGCCCCCAACCACCTCCTCTGCCCCGAGGACCTTCTCCAGGATGTCCCCAACCACCTTGTGTGTCCCCCCAGGCCAAAGCGGCGCCGGCAACAACTGGGCCAAAGGTCACTACACGGAAGGGGCCGAACTGGTGGACTCGGTGCTGGACGTGGTGAGGAAGGAGGCTGAGAGTTGTGATTGTCTCCAGGGCTTCCAGTTGACCCATTCCTTGGGTGGTGGCACCGGTTCAGGCATGGGGACCCTCCTGATCTCCAAGATCAGGGAGGAATATCCCGACAGGATCATGAACACCTTCAGTGTGGTCCCTTCCCCCAAGGTGTCGGACACGGTGGTGGAACCTTACAACGCCACCTTGTCCGTCCACCAGCTGGTGGAGAACACAGATGAGACCTATTGCATCGACAACGAGGCCCTCTATGACATCTGCTTCCGCACCCTCAAGCTCACCACCCCCACCTATGGTGACCTCAACCACCTGGTCTCTGCCACCATGAGTGGTGTCACCACCTGCCTCCGTTTCCCCGGCCAACTCAACGCCGACCTCCGCAAGTTGGCCGTCAACATGGTCCCCTTCCCAAGGCTCCACTTCTTCATGCCTGGCTTTGCTCCCTTGACCTCCAGGGGTAGCCAACAATACAGGGCCTTGACAGTCCCAGAGTTGACCCAACAGGTCTTTGATGCCAAGAACATGATGGCAGCTTGCGACCCACGTCACGGGCGCTACCTGACGGTGGCCGCCATCTTCCGCGGCCGCATGTCCATGAAGGAGGTGGACGAGCAGATGCTCAACGTGCAGAACAAGAACAGCAGCTACTTCGTGGAGTGGATCCCCAACAACGTGAAGACGGCCGTCTGCGACATCCCCCCGCGCGGCCTCAAGATGTCGGCCACCTTCATCGGCAACAGCACGGCCATCCAGGAGCTCTTCAAGAGGATCTCGGAGCAGTTCACGGCCATGTTCCGGCGCAAGGCTTTCCTGCACTGGTACACGGGCGAGGGCATGGACGAGATGGAGTTCACCGAGGCCGAGAGCAACATGAACGACCTGGTCTCCGAGTACCAGCAATACCAGGACGCCACTGCTGACGAGCAGGGGGAGTTTGAAGAGGAAGGAGAGGAGGATGAGGCGTAAAGTTCCCTGGTATCAATGGAACTTCTGTAAAGCAGGCATGTGTACTGGATGACTTCTGGTAGTGGTGGTGAAGCATGTTGTCTAGAAACTGTGTGCCCGATTATCCTCTCAGCACTTGTAACTTTGACAGATTTCTCAATGTACCAATCCTGAATCCCAGTTATTACAATGTTTTTGTTTAATGTTAAAAGCACATAAAGGCATGTATTCTAGATCATGTTTTCTGTCTTTCTTAACACTTATATTGGACACAGAACAGCTGTTCAGTCTGTGTGGCTAGATGCAAGTTTAAAGATGTGTCAGAAATGTTGCAGCACAGAGGTGCACTGTGAACCACTGAGGTTTACATTCTCAAAGTGTGTGCTTCCCATACAAATATTTTTCATGGTTTTTTTCTTACATGATTCAAACCTACCTGTAACTTGAATCAAAATGGAAAGCCCACTAAAATTCCTAAACAAGGCAAGGACAAACATCTTTAACTTGTTTTACAGTTTAAGTCAGTGTAGGAAATCTTCCACTTGTCTGTTGAACTCCTCTGCAAAACGCAGGTGTAGATTATGCTTTGCTTCTGGCATCAGAAGCAACCTTAAAAGAGGAAAAAAAAAAATTAAACACCAACTATACAGAGCATTCTGTACAGGTAATTAAAATGTTTGTTGCCTGTTTCTTGATCCTGGTTATCCAAGTACAGAATAGAAGTAACTACTGTTTTAAGTACTATCCCTATGTATCTCATTCAGAATATGAACCACAGGAACAGTTGGAGCAACAAACATACTACTACCCCATTTTGGGGAGGATAAACTGAGCTTAAAACAAATTTTTGTGTCCTAGATCTAGTTTCTAGAAACATTTTGGTGCTCTGCAAAGAAGATAACATTCTGAAACTTGTATGAGCAGGATGCATCTTCAAAAGGTATGTGAAGTACCTGAGCTCTTTTGCTTCTTTCAGAGAATGGTGGTTGTGCTGGGCAGTTAAGACATTGAGGAGATCACTACAGAAATGTAGATTTCTTGTCACCGCCCAAACTCTGTTTGAACTTTGTCTAATCTTTCTGCAAAAAGCAATCCAAAACTAAAACCATTCATTCATCCTTTAAAGTAAAGAGGGAAGTCAGGACTTCCTCAGCTATAACAAAAGCTTAGAAGAGTAGTACTTGTGAAAAAAAGTTAAATCTTTGCAATACGTATGAGAGTGACAAGCCTAAAAATGCTACTTGCCATTGTTTTCTATCTGGAAAAAAATTTAGACATCAGGTATGTAGTTTTAGCACTTTATATAGGGGTGAGAAATGCTTTAAATATACTTCCTCTTATCACATACTGAACAGTTTCAACAGACCTAAAGCCATGTTGACTGCTGTTTTGCTGTGTTGCCTTCATGTCATCTAAGTCCCAATATAGGAAAGGTCATCTTTCTTCATTTGGTGGTGACAAGTACTGTTTTGTCTTGGGGAAAATGGCAATAGGGTGTGAACATACCCAGTTCTAGTGCTTCTGGACTGTATATGCTATTAGCTACTGTTGTTATGCCACTGTAATGCTACCTAACTCTAACCATACTATACAAATACAGTATAATGGCACACTTGTTTACCATGAGATAAACAAGCAACGTATCTGTCCTACAATCAGCAAAAGCTTTTTCTAAATTATTACTAGGTAAAAATAAAGGCAAGAAATAAGAAGCATGTGTTACTAAAAATAGGCTAAATTTAAGGTTTTCCTTCTGCTTCAAAATGGAACATGTAATCTCCAGTGCAACAAGGGAAGAAGGGAATCTTGTGCTGAAGTATTAATTTCTGAGAACACCATTAGTCTGATTTGTTTTCTGATGAATACAAGTATGGGGAAGCACTTCAGCACAAAGCCATTTTAACAAGCTTCTTTACATTTTATTGGATAGCAATTTCTAATATTATTTGCTCCTTGATTTGTCTTCCAAAGAGAAGCTATCAGACCCTCGTCTAGTTTTTGTCATGACTTGGCTTAGTCAGGAGTATTTCAGAGCTCAGTGAAACCTAACAGGATGATGGCAGGTGTTCTAAGCAGGGCATGTGGGAGTAAGTAGCAGACATGGAATCAAACACCTGCATGTGATTGTTAGGAAGGTCTCTTGTTCTCATATTTCCTGTGGCACAATGCATCTCTTTGAAGAGCAGGCTGACTGAGATAAATATATCACTCAATTTTTCACAGAGATGACACCAGTGAAACAGTTCCCTAC